CTCAAGAAGTTCAGTGACATAGCATTTGGCAGGAATAGAAATGTGGTAATACATGGTATCCCGGAGTCCACAATGAAAGAAGGCAGACAAAGGGACCGAGCAATGGGGTACCACATTGTCAACTTGTTAAGAATAGTGGAACTGCCAGGACACATAACCATTGAGAGTCCTGCGCCTGGGACGGTGGACAGGGATGCGAACGGATTTGGCAAACCCCAAGGCCTGTCCTTGTTGAATTCGCAAACCCCAGACATCGTGACTGGTTCTTACAATCCTCTGGAAAGACAGGTCTTAGCGCAAGAGGTCAGGTGAATATCCGGCCAGATGACGCGGCCCACGGGAAAGCCCACGTATTCTCAAGTCCACCCAACTCACCTGGCTTTAACACAGCGCGAATGGGTCAGCCTCAAGTTAAGGTCCAGCGACTGCGGTCTACTTTGCAACGGAGCCCCGAGGAGACACCGAAGGATCAGACAGGGCAATAAACCCCCACCTATGGTAGACCCAGTTTAATCACCCCACCGAGCAGCCTACCGGGAGACCTAGTTCCAGCAAGAAATAGGAATAGCCACAACATTGTCGCAACAAACGGATGGGGAGCTCGTGTCTAAGCCCGAGTGACCGACTACTCCCACGTGGTGCAGGGGATCAAGGGATAAGTTGGAACTAGGGGTGTGGTACACAAATGCCACCAGTATAGGAAACAAATGGTCCGAACTAAGAGCACGGGCAAGCCAGGATGACGTGATTATAATCACAGAATCATGGCTGCGACCTGGTGACGACATCAGTAACTTGAGCCCACCCAACCATATCCCCAGCAGAGCGGATCGCCAGGATGGACGGGCCGGAGGGGGAGTACTGGTACTCTTAGCCGCCCACCACAGCCAACATGAAGGGCGTCACCACAACACCCCGAATGTACAAGCAGTGGCGGTGATTGTGCAAACTGTGCAACACCGGCTATCCGTCATCAGTGTCTACAGGAGCCCATCGGCCACCATAGAGGAGAATCAGTTACTGTTAGAGCTGTTAATTGAACAGGCTGGATATAGTGACCGGGTGTTGATAGTTGGAGACTTCAGCGCGTAGGGCCTTGATCCAACATGTGACCGGCGAGACCAGATGTAGGTTCGGGCAAACAGCTTCTACTCTAGACATAGTATGCACAAAGTTCCCCAACGATGTGCGGGGAATTGCTGTAGAAGACCCGTTGGGGGAAAAGCGATCACCGGGTTATAAGGATGAGGATTAGAATGCAGAGACTACCTGCTCCTGACAAATTTTGGTGTCAGTGTAGCAAGATGGACGCCGGTGACCTGCAGCATAGAGTGTGCCGGCTAAACTGGTTGGCTGAGAGTGCTCAAGAAGGTGTGCAAGACCAGTGGGAGCGCGTAATGGGTAACCTGCTTGAGCTGACCAATCAGGCAGCACCCGAAAAAAGGGTAAGACGCCGTGGCAAATTGCCCTGGTGGAGGGCACGTATCGATAAAGCAATGCGCGAAAAGGACACGTGGCAGCGCTATCGAAGCTCGGGATGTTTTCGCGCTCAGTAAGGTACAAGGTGGTTAGGCGCGAGTTGACTAGAGTCTAGAACAAGTGCAGAAAAGGTGCGACGAACGCTAGGGCCAGTGCAGTGTCGCTTCACCAAATGATTTGCGGGCCGAAAACATCTATCTTACGAGAGGCGTCTCGAAGCTTTGGACCCTTTCTCATTGAGCAGGCGTAGGCGACGCGAAGACTTTGTCGAAGCGTTCAATATCCCGAGAGGGTTTATGGACGTACTAGATGAAGCACAGCTCAAGCTTGGTGAAACAACAAACCTGAGAGGGCACGCTTTAAAACTGGTTAAAGAGAGTGAGGACTCGAAGAGCGCAGACTGAGTGGAACAGTTTGGTTTCAGCTGACTCGGGACAGCTATCCATTTATTGCTAAACCACCGTCCATGTCTTCCTCTCCTCGCATTCTCTCTAGAAGCTCTATGCTTAGCCCTTAATTATGCTCCACCTCTACCTCTTTACATTAACCTCTTAGTCCCAATGGATGGTTTGTTCGTCTCATGAGACTGCAAGCTCCAACACCATTCTTGAAAACCCCATCTGACTGGAGCCCTGCGAAAGGGTTCTATCCTGATCGTTGTGTACTATTCGTTCAATGGAGGAAGAGTTTTCCTCGTCATATTTTCGTAGCACCAGGGGATCCACGGAGCCCATCAGTGCAGGAAACTGGAAAAATTGGCACGCCGCCGCTAATTCCTGTGGTTTGAATTTTCGAATTGCTCCTGGTATTAAAGATTTGTGGTTGAAAACTAGTAGAATATCTATAGATATTTCACACTTTTAGCACTAAATAGTTTAGTGCTACTATACAAATTGTCGAACCCTTTAGCGGTTCAGAAAGTTGTATCTGAGTCGTTTTAGTTTTTTAAAGTGTGTTCCCAAAGCGTTGTAGTCATTTTTACCCTTTTATCCGTTTATCCGTTTTTCGCGACCGTATTTTTGAAATTTTCGCACGTTTATAAATGAGTTCCGCACAGCGCGAAAGTCATTGTGGTGGCACGGGTTGCAATTTGTATGTAGCTGATGGCATTCAGTGCAACAGGTGCAAAAAGTGGTACCATCAAAAGTGCTC